TTGGAAACTACTCTTTTAGAAAAATTAGACAAAGGTCATTTGGAAACAATTTTACATGTCCCACATATCTAAAGAGAAAAAGTAACCTACCTCCTTTTAACTTGAATTTTTAGAAAAGCACTGAAAATAATATTTCCCATTCTATTTCATTAAATTGAACTTACTGTTATGGACTAGAAATAAATATACCAACTTACAGTAGCTGTGAAGTTGAGAGATGGCTTCAAGACAGTAGCATAATCAAAAAATTCAATGATGTAATCATGCTCCTTGAAAAACACATTGGAACTTGCATTTCTTGAGATACCTATTTTGGAAATTGCACCATTTAGAAGACAAAAATTAATGCTTCACCAACAGCCTCTATCCATCAAATCTGATCCATCCATCAAATCTCCATCTAAACTATTTGCCAAAGGGGTTTAAGACATCAGGTCACATAAACTTCATTCCCATATGGGCTCTGACACTAAGAGAACCACACGGTCCTATTATGTCCTCTACAGACCCCTTCCCAGTACTTTGCTGCCATCCTCCTTCAGTGACATGTACAACAGCACATTAAGGCCACCTTAGTCTTTTGCTTTTTCAGGGATTGGTTAAAGCTACTGACGTAATAATAGAAAGGCCCTAGCAATTAACCTTTACCTTCTTATTAAAAGAGAAAACTGTCTAGGAGCAAATTAGATTCCAGAAGATGTTAAGTGATTTTAAAATATATAGAGAGAGAGAAGAAGATAGATGATTGAAAATATAAGCCTTCCCATGTAGTTTTCAGGCTGAAAAGAAAGAATAGAAATGGAAAAAAAAAATTACAAATAACTATCACATGGGCTTGAGGTACAGACTTTTCATAGAAAGTAAGTTTCCCCTTTATTATGAAACATCCTGCAAGTTGGACTAGTTAATAGTCATGACAACTTCAACATCAAATAGCATCTTTAGAAAGGCAGCAATGCTCCCAAATGAAAACGCCAGTTATAATGAGAAAGATGACAGGGCAACACCACATACATAGCTTTCTTTACCTTCACTTCAAAGTCTACAAACCTGTAAGCGATTCTGTCACCGTGGCTAAAATTTCCACCGGCCCAGGGGTAGACATATCCATGTGTTCAGAAAGGCCATTTGAAAAATCCATTACATTTTTCATCTCTTCATCATTAAAAGAGAAGTTTGCAGATCCATTTATCTGTTTTATTTAAAAGTTCAATTATATTTTTCACTTTAGCAATTCAAATTTTAGAAATAAAACTCAAACTAAGTTACAACAATACGATAGCTCTGGTAACATTTTAATAAGTAGAAATGGGTAAATTCTCACTTGTCCAATGCTGGAAAGCTGTTGATTTTTCTTACACTCAATTTTTTTGTCAATTGAGTTCAAAATCTTATTTTTAGAAAAAATAAACATATCTTTCCCCATTACAAGTTATAAAATATCAGCAAAAGTTACCTTAAATTTTTTTGTAATATTTTTCTTCACTCCCCAAAAGGATAAAGGTAAAAATGTAAGTGTTACATCCCCTTTCACTGGCTTCCCATATGTATACCTGAAAAATAATAAAGGTTTTTTTTACATGATCACCTTGTATTGCCAGAACACAATGAAAATTTTACTTTCAATAGCATATACTAGGCCGAGCGCAGTGGCTCACGCCTGTAATCTTAGCACTCTGGGAGGCCGAGCAGGGCAGATTGCTCGAGGTCAGGAGTTCAAATCCAGCCTGAGCAAGAAGGAGACCCTGTCTCTACTATAAATAGAAAGAAATTAATTGGCCAACTAATATATATAGAAAAAATTAGCCAGGCATGGTGGCGCATGCTTGTAGTCCCAGCTACTTGGAGTTGGAGGCAGCAGGATTGCTTGAGCCCAGGAGTTTGAGGTTGCTGTGAGCTAGGCTGATGCCACGGCACTTACTCTAGCCTGGGCAACAAAACGAGACTCTGTCTCAAGAAAAAAAAAAATTGCATATACTAGCAATTCAACTTAAAATTGCATTCAAAACATACTGCTACTACAAATTTTTAAAACTAAACCCAGCAAGGAATGTCCTTAATAAATGATGATCATTGAAATTAAGTCTCCAAAATGGGAAGACTTTTAACTTTTGCACCTTAAAACAATTCATAATACATACTTTACCCAGCTTCTCTCTATCTGAGAGACCCCAGAGAAAATCTGATCATAATTGAAAGTGACAGTTTCCTCTCCAAAGATTTCTAAAAGATTATGAAAATCTTTCATTCCTAGAAATCTGGACCGGCCCATTTACTGTGTGCACACGACACTTAGCAGTTTTAAGGATTTCAAATGTTAGCTGCAATCACCATGGGCTATTGCTGCCTATTCCAGTATTAGCCAGGAGGGTTGGATTAGACCACATATTCTGGAGCCCCAAATGTGCTCAGCGGTCAAAAATTGGCTTTTTGTAGGAAAATTTAAAATAGAGAATAAAATAAGAGAATAAAAGTTAAAGTAAGAGTTAGCCCACAGTACCAAAATTATCTCCTTGGCAGTCAAATAGCATCTGTGTTACTTTCCATTCCTATGTATTAATTGGTACCCTTCTCGATGATTCGGAAAGTGTTCTTCATGTGAAGGAACGAGCAATCCTTTGCGGAAATATGTTTTTCTGCAGAAAGCCTTTCTTTAAAATCCATTTCTTGGGTGTGCTTTCATCTGTATTGTGAAATGCTGAGCCAGAACTTGAGAGTCAATTTTTGCTTTGTACTCTATAAATCAGCAGTAACATACTGCTTCCTGAATCTCATTAATTGAACATGGAAAACTCCCCTCATCTGGTGCCAACTCAACCAAAGGGAAGATATTTAAAATACAATATTCCTAAATTAGAGAAGGAGCAAAGGTGGGCATGGTGAACTGCACGTCTTTAATCCTTGCACTCTGGGAGGCCAAGGCGGAGAGGGATCGCTCAAGTTCAAGATTCGAGACCACCTGGGAGCAAAGAGCAAGACCATCTCTTACTTAAAAATAGAAAAAAAATGTAATTGGCCAACTAAAATAGTGTAGGAGGAGAAAATTAGCCAGGCATGGTGGCACATGTTTGTAGTCCCAGCTACTCAGGAGGCTGAGGCAGGAGAATAACTTGACCCCAGGAGGTTGAGGTTGCTGTGAGCTAAGCTGATGCCACGGCACTCTAGCCCAGGCAATAGAGTGAGACTCTGTCTCAAAAAAAAGAAAGAAAGAAAAACAGAAGGAAAAAACAAATCCACCTTCAAATGCACCACTCTTCCAAATGAAAACAGTAAAGTTAGTGGAAACCCTGGTTAGGAATTTCAGCATCAACGTCACTCATTCAAGAATCTTCGAAACCTGATATTACTCGTATCTTTTTAAAGATTCAATGAAAGCAAAACTAGAATACCAGATTATTGTATTTTAAAAGTTACATCACATGATAGTACAAGGAGCCTTAAAATCCAGACATAATTTAAAGTATTCTCAGACACAAAAATTTTTTATTTTTATTTAAATGTGAAGCAGATTTAGCTTTCCAGACACCAAGTTGATTATAATGATTGTGAAACAAGGATACTGAGAATTATTGTCCTAAACAGAATCTGGAAGCATTTGAGATATATTAATTATTCATAAAATAATAGCTTGACAACATTTTGAAAAGCAAATCAATGATATTCTGACATGCTATTAACAAAATAAGAAATTTCTTTTCTGAAAACAGCCACAGCACAAATGCTTTATAAAATAATATCTAAAAAGTGAACCTATCAGGATAATTCATGTTTCTTGCCACTTACCTTTTTTCCACTTTATTTGCAGGACACAAATCTTTCAATTCATTAAATAATAAATATAGTTTAATATACCTAGATTAAATAATATTTTTCATATTCTACTATTCTCTAGGAGTTAAATAGAAGTAAAATAGATATATGCTAAATGGAAGTAAAATAGATATATGCCATGTTATTTTCTTTACAATCCTCTAGAACCCACTGTGGTTAGTGGAAAAGAGTCTATTGTTTATTTTTAATGAGGTGGGAATAACGAGCAGATGTTTCACATCAAGGCTAATAAATGCATGTTTTTTATTTTTTATTTACCCCAGTTAAAGATTTCAAAACTAAAAAACACTTATTAAGCTTCTTCTCAGAGAAATGTCTAGCAATACTCTTTTTTTGGGTCAATTGGAGGTTTCAAAAAAAAAAATTTTTTTTTTTTTTTCTTATTTTTATAAAAAATAAACATATCTTTCCATTACAAGTTATAAAATATCCGCAAGAGTTACCTTAAATTTTTTTGTTAGATATTTTTCTTCACTCCCAAAAAGGATAAGGTAAAGATGTAAGCTGTTACATTCCTCTTTCACTGGGCCTTTCCACGAGTTATGTGGGTGATACCTGAAATAGATAATTAAAGGGTTTTTTTTTACACTATACGTTCGATTTGCAGAACACACAATGAAAATTTTACTTGTCATAGCATATACATAGGGGCCGGAGCGCAGGTGGCTCGACGGCTGTAGATCTTAGCACTCTTTGGGGGAGGCGAGCAGGGGCGGCTTGCTCCGAGGGTCAGGGGAGTTTCAAATCAGGCTGAGGCAAGAAGGAGACCCGTGTCGTCTACTATAGATAGAGGAAGAAGTTAATTGGCCAACTAGAAGGTAATATATAGAAAAGAAGAATTAGCGCATGGGGCATTTTCGGGTGGCGCGGGGAACGGCGGATGCGTGTGTAGGTCCGGCTGACTTGGGAGGCTGGAGGCAGCAGGATTGGCTTGAGCGCCCAAAAGGAAGTTTGGGTGAGCGGTGCTGGGTGAGCTAGGCTGATGCCACGCGCACCTTCTTCGGTAGCCTTGCGGAAACAAAAACGAGACTCGGTGTCTCAAGAAAAAAAAAAAAGGTCTGCCATGATACTAGCAATTCAACTTTAAATTGGCATTTTCAAAACCGATATGCTACTACAAATTTTTAAAACTAAAACCCAGCAAGGGAATGTCCTTAATAAATGGATGATCATTGGAAATTATGAGTTCTCCAAAATTGGGAAGACTTTTAACTTTTTGGCCACCTTAGAAACAATTTCATGAATACATTACTTTACCCAGCTTCTCTCTATCTGAGAGACGCAGGAGAAA